ATTTAGAGGGAAGCAGACACAGATAATAAGGTAGTATCTCTAGACGAACGAAGATTTGGTCTTTCCTGTTTGTAGAATGTGAATAATTGTTTCATGTAAGAGGGAACAGTATCCGAAAACAAAGCTTTATACACATTTGATTCGGGCTTTCACAGGCAGTCATTGAAGACTTTTAAGAGTTGATGTTACATGACCTCTAGAAGATGACTTGCCAATTAGTCCAGCACACTGAGCGACATGGAAAACGCATCACCTTTTTTCCCCAAATACTAGGTGGTTTTACTATTCAAAAAAAGTAGGGGATATTTGATTTTGGGGGCATAATACTAAAATATGCAAATGACTACGAAAAAAGTCACTATAGAACCTAACAGAAGAAACATTTCCAGTTACATGTGACGCCCAAACGCACCAATAGCTACCGCATGGAATGCAGGTGATGCTTGGGATCATCATGGGGGTCCAACCCAAGATTTGCACGACTCTGACTTTGAATGTTACAGTCATTGTGGCATTGAATTCCAGGGTGGAAACATCAGTTTAATTGTTTTAGTGACCAGAAAACAAATTTTGATATGCGTCGGCTTACCCAAAATGAAAGGTTACGTGCCCTTGGCATGCTACAGATCGGCACAACACAGGCGGTTGTGGCGCGGACGATGAATGTTTCTCAGTCTGTCATAAGCAGGCTATGATACCGTGATACACAATCTGTACAGGACAGACCACGCTCAGGTCGACCAAGGGCGACAACTCAAGCCCAGGATCGATTTATCCGTACCTTGGCCTTGAGAAATCGTGTCATCACAGCATATCAGATCAGCGCTCGTCTTCAAACAGACACTGGTGTGAGAGTGAGTGGCCAGACGATTCGGAATCGACTGCATAGGGGTCACCTTCGCGCCCGACGTCCTCGCGTGATCCCTTGTTTGAGAGATCATCACATTCAGGCAAGACGTCGTTGGTGTAGGGATCGTCAACACTGGGATAATCGACGCTGGAGCAATGTGATGTTTTCAGATGAGTCAAGATTCACTGTTGATTTTTTGGACAGACGTAGGAGGGTGTGGCGTCGTCGAAACGAGCGCTTCCAAGACGTTAACGTCATCAGACATGATCGATTTGGGGGTGGTTCTGTTATGGTGTGGGGAGGCATCACTGTTGCTGGAAGAACGGCTTTACATGTTGTTGCAGGGCGTGTTACAGGCCAGTACTACCGGGACAACATCTTGGCAGTCCATGTTGTGCCGTTCGCACGACGTCATGGCCGCCGTTTCATCTTCCAGGATGACAACGCAAGATGTCACAGGGCCAGGATCGTTACAGGTTACCTCCAACAACAGAACATCACCACATTACCTTGGCCAGCACTGAGTCCCGACCTCTCCCCCATCGAGCATGTCTGGGACATGCTTGGACAGAGGTTACGTCAACGTCAACAACGTCCTGCCAATGTCCAAGAACTTGCTGCTGCGTTGCAACAGGAATGGGACAATCTGGACCAAAATGACCTTAGACGTCTCATTAGGAGTATGCCACGCCGGATCAATGCTTGTTTGGCAAACAGAGGAGGATTTACCCGTTACTGACTTGGTTGTGATGCTGTGGTAACTTTGCTGTTTGACCCCGGGTATCATTTTACCCTTATAATGGTCAGTCTGTGCCTTACTTAGTCTAACGATCATTTGGAATAAATCGATGAATGTGAACTTCATTTCATTTTGTCATTTGTTTCTTCGTCAGTTTCATTAGGTGACTTTAATAACACTTAAAAATCAAATATCCCCTACTTTTTTTGAATAGTATATAATATTATGCAATACTATGAACCATGCTCCCAAACGCAAAAAATATCGGCCCGTGTGCAAAAAAAAAAAAAAAAAATTGCACGAGATGCACATGAAAACCCCAATATTCACGTGCAGCATTGTGTGTGAGCCCTTTAAAAGCATGTTTTCAACTTAATGTGCAGTACATGAACTGTGAAACGTCAATCTGTCGTAATTTGTTGTTGGACGTGTGAAGGACTCGAGCTAGAGATGCCGAGTCTTATTGAAAATCAACGAAATGAAGCCATGGGAATGTCCAGAGCTGGCATGTCTACACGTGCTATTGCCAGACACTTCAATTGTCATCAGTCCACTATTGTAAGGTTGGTGGAACGTGTTCGAGTTACTGGATCAACACGGGGCCGTCAACGTCCTGGTCCACAACGCGTTACAACCCAGGCTCAAGACCGCTACATCCGGGTCACTCATCTGCGTGACAGATTCCGCCGTAAGACGTCGGCTAAGAGAAGTAGGACTCCGTGCATGACGACCTTATGTTGGAGCTATCCCCAGGGATCATCACCGTCAGGGCTCAAGGGCACCAGACATGGAGAAGAGTAGACTGGCAAAGTGTGCTCTTCAGTGATGAGAGTCGCTTTCATCTTTATCACGCTGATGGCCGTCAACGTGTGTGGAGACGTCTTGGGGAACGTCTTGCAGACTGCTGCGTTTTCGAAACGAATCAATGGGGTGGGGGAAGTGTAATGGTGTGGGGAGGCTTCACATTTCATCACCGGACAGCCCTACACATTTGCAGGGGTCGCGTTAATGCTGTAGCCTACCGTGATAATGTCTTGCAACCAATTGTTGTTCCGATGTTTCGAGCGCACCCACAACTTCAGCACTTCCAACAGGATAATGCACGTCCGCATACCGCCCGTTTTAGTATGGACTACCTGGCTGCTAATGCTGTATTCGTTACTCCTCGGTTTTATGGAAAATACGACAAACGAATTGGTAAATAGCGTTCGTAACTACGAAAACTGGATCGGAAGTCGTTATGTCTACTGGAGAACTGGAGTAGCTAAAATGATATCGAGGTCACGACATATGACGTAACAAGATGGCAGCCAAAATTACAAAGTTGAAAGTTTTGAACGGTAAATTACTATTTTTGTAGTTATATGTTTGTTGTGGATGTGCATATCGATCTGAATACGTTATTTATAGAATTTTACATATCGGGATACATTTTCTGAACAACGACAAGAAACACATTAAACAGAAAACGCGAAAAATACCCGGCTTTCCATTTTGTACTAACTTGTTGTTGTACCGTACGGCAGTTCAGGTTTTAGGGCGGTACGGTCTATATCAACAGTTTCAGTAACTGTGGTTTAACGCCCATTGGGCACAAACTAGGTCTTTTCGGGATTAACGTACTACGTTTCTTTGAAATTTAAAATGTCTGCATACCGTAGATATTACCTGTAGGCATATGTTAAGCTAATTTACCGTGCCGCTAATCGACAATAGACTTTATCTAATTTTTCACGGCTTAATGTACGATAAATTGTTCTTAGATTGATTATTTAACATTTAATTAAAAAAACTAAACCAAAATAGACCAACGGAATATGTAGATATTTTCTAGCTTGAATTTAATTGGATTTAAAAGAGGCCCATCAAAATATTGACCAATATTTAAGGGTTATACTGGCTTGTTTATGTCGTTTACATTAGATGCCGAACGATAATAAATTTTCAATTTATCATATCTTTGTAAATACTGAACCGAACTGAAATGTCTTTGGACTGATATTCCTTTTAGCGATTTAAATTTTACAAATGTTGGTTAAAGGTTTTAAGAATCCTTGAAGGGATAATGACAGCCATGTTGATTTTCCCACTTGTGCACACGAACACGACAAGTGTGGTATTTACTATTTCCTAGTGGGAAACACGATATTTCCAAGCGGTAACGAACACCACAGATGCACACCATTGCTGCTTTAGAAGCTGCTCTTGTCCAAGAATGGAACAATTTGCCCCAGGCCTTCTTTCAAACAATGGTAAATTCTATGCGACGTCGCTGCACAGCGTGCGTAAGAGCCCGTGGAGGACACACGCGCTACTGACATCTGTGTCGTACTTTTGGTTTTGACCCCTCTGACTTTGTACCGTTGATTACAGATTAAACATCCATAAGTGTAGAAATGTGTTGTTATTGATGTGTTCCCATTTGAATATTGTTCACAATAAGAAGCAAAATAAATAAGATATGTTTACAGGATCATTTTGTTATACGAAACACTAAGTGATGCGTTTTCCATGGCGCCGTGTATATTGTATCCAACTTGAAGACCGTTGATTGGGAAATTTGGAATGCCAGCCAGGAGTCCATTTCCATAGTCCAACTGAGATATGACCAATGCTATTCAATGCTGATGAATCTTTAGTGAGATACCTCCTGATTCTGGATATTGGTTTTAATCTCATGTAAATTTTACACATACTATTGTTAACCTGTGAGATGAGAGACATTGTCCAGATGAAACCTAGATTTCTTGATTTAAATGATGGTGAAATTTCGGTATCGCCGATGTTTAGCTTTGGTGAAAAGTTGAAACTGTTCAGTGTTGATCTTGGTAATAATCATCAGGGATTTTGTCTTCTCATCGTTCAGCTTTAATTTGTTTTGATTCATCGACGCCCGAATATCACTGATACAGGATTCTAGCTTATTTAAGGCACCATGTGTTGACATCTAGTCTGAAGGAATTAATGTGTTATGCAATTGCGTATCATCAGCAAAACCATGATATAGCTGATACCATATTTATTAATAATTTTATCAAGTGGAAGTACATACAGTAAGAGGCGAAGTGTACCTAGTACCGATCCCTGTGCGACTCCAATGGACAGTGGTTTAGATGGAGTTGCTGCTATGAATATGGACATATTGGCTTCTGTCAGTTAGATAAGGACTTCAACCAATCCAGCGCAGATCCTTTGATTCCCACAGATAATTAATGTGTTATGCAATTGCGTATCATCGGCAAAACCATCATATAGCTGATACCATAGAATTTATTTATAAAGTTATAAATTAAATTTTACAATTATAAATTAAATTTTTACAATAAAAATTAAATTTTACAATTATAAATTAAATTTTACAATTATAAATTAAATTTTACAATTATAAATTAAATTTTAAACCGATAAACTAATTTTCAAAATAGGAACTTAATTGTTAAAAGAGGGACTTAATTATTAAAATAGGAACTTAATTATTAAAATCAATTATAAATTAAATTTTACAATTATAAATTAAATTTTAAAATTATAAACTAATTTTGAAAATAGGAACTTAATTGTTAAAATAGGGACTTAATTATTAAAATAGGAACTTAATACTTAATTGTTAAAATAGGGACTTAATTATTAAAATAGGAACTTAATTATTAAAATAGGAACTAAATTGAAAATGAACTTAAAAAAATGGAAATTCAAAATACAAATCTAAAGTTAATTCTTGAAAATTTAAAAATTGAGTTGAAAATTAAAAATACAAATAGGAAAAAAAAACAAGAAATAATTTAGTGTTATAACAGACATTCAGCTTTTAGTAAAGGAAAGGTCTATAGTATACAATCACTAGTGTGTATATACTGATATATATGACATGGCGTTATATATTGGCTGTGCTAGGTCGTAACCATGTATCATCTTGCAACGTTTCCCTGGATAGCGACCTGGAAAATTTTTTTTAAAAAATACAGTATGATCAAAATTTATATTGAAGCGGTAGGATAGGGTTGGGCAACTAAAGTTTGATAAATTTTATTCGGTTTTAAACTACAGTCCCACAGCATAACAGGAATTGTTTCAAATTGTATTATGATGTTGATCGAGAACATTTATACTCGTCAAAAAAAGTAGGGGATATTGAAATGCAAATACCTATGCAGGTTGCGATATGATAAATAGTCATGGATAGTATGTTCACAGATGAAGAACGTATCGCCCCAACGACCACTGAGCTGCACATGCGACACGCAATAGCGCCATATATGGGGAGGGGTTCATTGTCAAATTTGACACTTCAAGGAAGGGTTGGAGAAAACTGCCGCGTGTTTGCTTTCCTATCGGTTCTTGCAGAAGATTTACTGTTTAGCGTATCTTTACTTAGGTGTGTTACGTTTGATGTGATCGGGAGACGTGTTCGTCGACGTCAACGTCAAACGACAACACTGCAAGAATTGGCCGTGGCACTGCAAGAGGAGTGTGTCAGATTGCCCCAAATCGTGATTGGACGGTTGATTAGGAACATGCCACGACGGATTGCTGAATGTCTGACTCATTATTATGACAAAAATCAAAAACGTCCATTTTCACTATTGACAGTGTATCTCTTTGCGAGTGAAATGGAGCCGTCAGATAAGCCGCACATATGAACTGTTTATGTTCATGTGTAGGCAATTGGCCTGTTATTAACATACACTGCTTACCTCTAATAAACACAGCAGTGCATTTCCGCAGTTTTGTATTGTTTCTGAATATCCCTTACTTTTTTTGAAGAGTATAAGGAAGACTTGATTTACAGCTCCTTTTACTGTTTGCAAGTACTAACCACACTTTTCGCAGAATGGCCCAGATACGAGGTAGTGGAAGTTGGTAATAATTCCATAGCTATTTTTTTTACAATAAAACTTACCCATGATTCTGTAATCTTAATGCTCCTCCATCTAAAATAAAAGTAGAAATCTAATAAGACTTTTGTAATAATAAAGTCTTGACAAAAACTGAGCAAAGGAAACAATAACCCATGAAATTTACCCGTAATTCAGCTATTTTGGAGGTAATTAACAGTAGTAGATAAAAAAAACTAACACTTTTTTTTTCTTTTCATACTAACCAGACCACAGTTGTTCACGAGCTTCAATTGGATTATCGACGTGCTCAATGAAATGATCTTAACAAAACATCATTATCCATTATTCTAAAAATGAGATTCGAACCACCAAGGGAATGATTGATGGTTAAAGGAGCTAAATCGCTAATATTTGGAACCTAGAAAGTGAAACAAATGGGTAGCACGGCATATAATAATGTAATATGAATGCAAATAAATTCGTTTCTGTTTTAACTTTAATTTCAAATCAGTTATGTTTGGCGAAATACGCCAGAAATCTCACTCGAATGGTAATCTCTAGCGTCTGGTTATTCCAGTCTATATCGATAGATATTGATATTAATGCAGTAATTGAGAGAAATCAAAGATATTTAAAAGTTATCACCACCAACAAACCATATGAACCTCTAGACACTATCCACTGAATATTAATCATAGCAATCTCATCCAGCTCACCTCAAACACTATCAAAAATCACAAACAGATAAGAAAAACCTTAGAACAAAACAGAAATATGCAACAATCTTATAACAAATTAGAAAGGTAAGGAATGAAACAACTATTTTATCTGATTATATTGTTGAAAATTCAATTGATATTTGTGGAATAACTGAACCATGGCTGAATAATGACTGTTCGGATTCATCGAGAATCGCAGCATTAGTACCTGATGGATATTCTATACAACATTGCGCTAGAGGTTCACGTAGAAGAAGTGTAGGGCTTATATACTGAGCGCCATGGAAAACGCATCACTTTTTTTCCCAAATATTTTATTACTAGGCGGTTTTGTATGTATAATATTATGCAATACTATGAACTATTGTTTCACACAATGCTCCCAAACGCAAAAAATATCGGCCCGTGTGCAAAAAAAAAAAATTGCACGAGATGCACATGAAAAACCCAATATTCACGTGCAGCATTGTGTGTGAGCCCTTTAAAGGCATGTTTTCAACTTAATGTGCAGTACATGAACTGTGAAACGTCAATCTGTCGTAATTTGTTGTTGGACGTGTGAAGGAATCGAGCTAGAGATGCCGAGACTTACTGAAAATCAACGAAATGAAGCCATGGGAATGTCCAGAGCTGGCATGTCTACACGTGCTATTGCCAGACACTGCAATTGTCATCAGTCCACTATTGTAAGGTTGGTGGAACGTGTTCGAGTTACTGGATCAACACGTGACCGTCAACGTCCTGGTCCACAACGCGTTACAACCCAGGCTCAAGACCGATACATCCGGGTCACTCATCTGCGTGACAGATTCCGCCCAGCGACTCGAACAGGTGCAGCAGTCATCGGAAGACAAGGACCAGTAAGTGCCAACACCGTAAGACGTCGTCTAAGAGAAGTAGGACTCCGTGCACGACGACCTTATGTTGGAGCTATCCTCACCGTCAGCGGCGTTTGATATGGGCTTTCCTCAGGGATCATCACCGTCAGCGGCGTTTGATATGGGCTCAAGGACACCAGACATGGAGAAGAGTAGACTGGCAAAGTGTGCTCTTCAGTGATGAGAGTCGTTTTGATCTTTATCACGCTGATGGCCGTCAACGTGTGTGGAGACGTCTTGGGGAACGTCTTGCAGACTGCTGCGTCTTCGAAACGATTACTGTTGATTACAGATTAAACATCTATAAGTGTACAAATGTGTTGTTATTGATGTGTTCCCATTTGAATATTGTTCACAATAAGAAGCAAAATAAATAAGATATGTTTACAGGATCATTCTGTTATACGAAAAACTAAGTGATGCGTTTTCCATGGCGCTCAGTATATTTAAGTTATCTATTAAATGTAAGAAAATCCGTCATGAACGTTTTGATTCTTTGGATAGAATCCGTCATGAACGTTTTGATTCTTTAGAAAGAATTCGTCATGAACGTTTTGATTCTTTGGAAATTTGGATTGTTCTCTACAGTTTTCTTTCAAGTAAAACTAGGATTATTACAATTTACCGCCAGCCCAATAGCAAATTGTGTCAAAAGTTTATGAAAGAATTCGAATTATTTTTGGACCAATTGATTATTATTATTTCGGGGGATTTTAATTTTCAGGTTGATGATTCCAACGACTCTACCGCGGTTTATGTTTGGGAAATGTTGAATAATAGATCTCTGACACAACATGTTTCTTCTTCGACTCAATACGGTGGACATATATTCTCGAACTGGTGATAACTAATCCGTGTTATATTAAACTGGATAACCTCTATGTCTCGGACAAATTAATATCTAATCATTTTCAGGCAGGTTTTAATCTTAAGATTCAGAAACCACAACCAACAAGAAAGACTGTAACAATATCGAAGGTTTAAATCACTTGACTAACAAACTTAAAGCGGAAATACTCAACTCAGATTTTTATGACATTCAACGTATTCAAAATATACAAGAGGAGGCAACCCAATATCAATCTAAACTTGCCGAAACTTTGGACTCACTTGTGCCTCTTAAAACGAAAACATTTACTATTCGTCCCAAAACGCAGTGGTTTAGAAGCCAAAAGGGACCGTGATAAGGCTTAACATCTGTGGCGGAAAACAAATAAACATATCCATAAACAGATTTATAAATCTTCAAAAATCAATGTGAATAAATTAATTGAAGACGCTAAAATTAAATTTTACTCTGATAGAACAAAAAAATTGAAAACAGACAAAAAGACCTGTATAAATTTGTGAATTCCCTTTTAGATCATAATGCTCTGTAAACTATTCTCCAGGACAATGATAATGACACTGAACTTGCGAATTTATTCTCTGATTTCTTTCAAATAAAAATACAGAAAATACGCTCATGACTTTGAAAATTCTGTTTATTTAGAAAATGTTTACTTGGTTAGTGAATCTTTTGTTTTAAAGCTAATTAAATCGTCTGCTCCTAAATCTTGTTCATTAGATCCTGTTCCGACTCCTGTTCTTAAGGATTATTCCAGTTTTTACTAATATTATTAATTCTTGTATATCATTCTCTACTATTCCCAACGTTTTCAAACAATCTTATGTTACCCCTTTAATTAAAAAGTCTACACTTGATCCTAAAGTTTATAAAAATTACAGACCTGTCTCTTACTTAAGTTTTATTTCTAAAACACTGGAGAAATGTATTGCTTCTCAGATAAAGACCCATCCATCTAGATGATAACTATTTGTATGACCATTTCAAAGTGCTTATAAACAATTTCACAGTACAGCTTTAACCCGGGTTTCAAATGATACTTTAATGGAAATTGATAATAGAAAATGTACATTTTTAATTTTATTAGATTTATCTGCTGCTTTCGACACAAGGTGGATCATATTATCCTTTTACGTAGACTTCATTTTAAATTCGGTATGTGTGGCTCTGCATTAAATCTTTTAGAAAGCTTTGTTGTGGGTAGAAAACAGTGTATGTATTTTAGTTAATTGTAAATCTTCGTTTGAATATGTTTTGTCATCGGGGGTTCCTCAAGGTTCTGTACTTGGTCCGATTTAATTTACCCTTTATACTTCACCATTAGGTGATATTGTCAGAAAATATGTTCTCAGATTTCATTTGTATGCCGATGATACTCAATTAAATACTCCTGAAAAAAAGTAGGGGATATTCAAGACAATACAAAACTGCGAAAATGCACTGCTGTTTTATCCTCAGACATTCAGCAATTTGTCGTGGCATGCTCATAATCAACCGTCCAATCACGATTTAGGCAATCTGAACCACTCCTCTTGCAGTGCCACGGCCAATTTTTGCAGTGTTGTCGGTTGACGTTAACGTCGACGAACACGTCTCCCGATCAAATTAAACGGAACACACTAAAGCAAAGATACGCTAAACAGCAAATCTTATGTAGGAACCGATAGGACAGCAAACATGGATAGGATAAACCAGCAAGCGGCAGTTTTCATCAACCCCTCCTTGAAGTGTCAAATTTGACAATGAACCCCTCTTAGAAAATGGATGTCAAAGAACTTTCTAAAATTAAATGATGATAAAACCGAATAATATACTGAGCGCCATGGAAAACAAATATAACAAATGATCCTGTAAACATACCTTATTTATTTTGCTTCGTATTGTGAACAATATTCAAATGGGAGCACATCAATAACAACACATTTGTACACTTATGGATGTTTAATCTGTAATCAACGGTACAAAGTGTCAGAGGGGTCAAAAGCAAAAGTACGACACACATGTGTGCAGCGACGTGGCATGGAATTAACCAATGTTTGAAAGAAGGCCTGGGGCAAATTGTTCCATTTTTGGACAAGAGCAGCTTCTAAAGCAGCAATGGTGTGCATCTGTGGTCTCCGATACAGGCGGCGTCCAATCTCATCCCAGACATGTTCTATCGGTGCCATGTCCGGAGACATGGCTGGCCAGTCCAAGACATTGATGTTATTAGCAGCCAGGTAGTCCATACTAAAACGGGTGGTATGCGGACGTGCATTATCCTGTTGGTAGTGTTGAAGTTGTGGGTGCGCTCGAAACATCGGAACAACAATTGGTTGCAAGACATCATCACGGTAGGCTACAGCATTAACGCAACCCCTGCAAATGTGTAGGGCGGTCCGGTGATCAAATGTGAAGCCTCAGCACACCATTACACTCCTCCCACCCCATCGATTCGTTTCGAAGACGCAGCAGTCTGCAAGACGTTCCCCAAGACGTCTCCACACACGTTGACGGCCATCAGCGTGATAAAGATGAAAGCGACTATCATCACTGAAGAGCACACTTTGCCAGTCTACTCTTCTCCATGTCTGACGGTTATGATCCCTGAGGATAGCTCCAACATAAGGTCTTCGTGCACGGAGTCCTGCTGCTTTTAGACGACTATGA